ATTACCAAAGCCAAAAAGGCGGATCTCTATACGCTAATTTGGCTTTAAGGTCAATTTTCTTAAGGCCAAAAGGCCGGAGAAAAAAAAATAGATGTTTTTTAGAAAAAGTTGAACAATAAAGGTAGATAAAAATAATATTCAGGGTATGAAAATCAACTAGAGAGTTGAAGGCATTTAATCAATTAGTAAGACAATTAGATCCCTAAAAATTTCTACTCGCTTTTGGCTTTAGATCACTAAATTTTAAAATTCCTAAACCCAAAATGGGTATCCATTTTTAGACTTACGTTCTTTTGGCTTAAGAAAGTTTTTTTCTCAGTTTTAAGTGCTACGTCGTGGTTAAATTAACGTTATTTTATTTATCTTAAAATAATACGAATTTTTATTAATTTTAAAAAATATTTTTAAGGAAGTAAAATTTACAGCAGACACTAATAATGAGAAAACTCATTAAGTGTCTCGTCTGGACTATCTAAAAAAATTCCCGTAAGACAATTAGATCCCTAAAAATTTCTACTCGCTTTTGGCTTTAGATCACTAAATTTTAAAATTCCTAAACCCAAAATGGGTATCCATTTTTAGACTTACGTTCTTTTGGCTTAAGAAAGTTTTTTTCTCAGTTTTAAGTGCTACGTCGTGGTTAAATTAACGTTATTTTATTTATCTTAAAATAATACGAATTTTTATTAATTTTAAAAAATATTTTTAAGGAAGTAAAATTTACAGCAGACACTAATAATGAGAAAACTCATTAAGTGTCTCGTCTGGACTATCTAAAAAAATTCCCGTAAGACAATTAGATCCCTAAAAATTTTTACCGGCTTTTGGCTTTAGATCACTAAATTTTAAAATTCCTAAACCCAAAATGGGTATCCATTTTTAGACTTACGTTCTTTTGGCTTAAGAAAGTTTTTTTCTCAGTTTTAAGTGCTACGTCGTGGTTAAATTAACGTTATTTTATTTATCTTAAAATAATACGAATTTTTATTAATTTTAAAAAATATTTTTAAGGAAGTAAAATTTACAGCAGACACTAATAATGAGAAAACTCATTAAGTGTCTCGTCTGGACTATCTAAAAAAATTCCCGTAAGACAATTAGATCCCTAAAAATTTTTACCGGCTTTTGGCTTTAGATCACTAAATTTAAAAATTACTAAACTCAAAACGGGCGTACATTTTTAGTCTTACACCCTTTTGGCTTGAGAAATTTTTTTTTTTAATTTTAAGCTTAGAGTATGCTTGCAAAATTGGTTAAAAATTTTTTTACGCCCTTTTGGCTTTAGATTACTTAATTTCGAAAGTTATTAAAATTCATTCAAAATTACTTTATATTTTTTTAAGTTGGTTTGTTATTAAACCATATTTTTTCTTTTAAATTATAATTCATTTGTCAGCATTGTTAATAAATGTTACTATTATTTGTTATTCAAATTTTAATTTTCTATAGTATCAAAAATTTAATTTCAATAATTTTTTTTTTTTTTTTTTTTTAATGCCACAAATATTTATTTTACTCAGAGGGCAAAGTATTGAATTTATTAATTAATTTTAAAGTATTGATTCATAAAAGAATATGCTATTGTTATTTATGAATATAAAATTCTCCAATTTCACCAAAAATATCTCTGTATTAAATATCATATTTATTAAAATAAAATATCAAATTTTCAACATAACAATTACTTTTCAATATTAATAAACTCAATTAAAAAAAAAAAATTAAATGATAAATATCGTATTACGCAAAAATTTGACAAGCAATAACACATGACATTTATACAAAAAAAAAATTACTTGATTTTTCTAGCAATTGATTATTTAAAAAAGTTTTTCAAAATAAAAATAAAAAATAAAAAAAGATAATTTTTTTAAAATTAATATTTTGGTGAAATCTGAAGTACTGTCACTTTTTTTTTTTTTTAATAATTAAGGGCGTCAAATAATCAGACAAGATGGAGTCTGATTGTTGATTTAAAGAAAACTAGACGACGAGCAAAAACCTGAAAAGTAAAGTATGCTTTAAATGACAGAATAAGTCGGAAGTATTGGGAAAATAAGGTTTGTACTTACATAGTATATTTGTGAATATAAATCATAAATTTTAATTACTATTGAAACATTGTCACACCTACTGAATTCTTATAACACTCCTCAGGCACTTACACTAACTATAGAAGAGTAGAATTGTAGAATTTCAGTCAGTATAGTTGAGTTCGATGCACTTAGTTGTGAATTTTTTAGAAAAGAGGGCAGCACTTTGCAGGTTTCATTTCGCGGGAAAAGTTCTTAATTATCGACTGATTTAAATTTTTTGCTAAGTAGGTATAAAAGAAAATAATTATAATAATAAATTGTTTATGCCTGGAGAGAAACACAGGCTAACAATATTACGAACAATCAGAGAAAAAATTGTTGTATTAGACTGGACAGCCAATAAAACTAAGAATATAAAGTATTATAAAACCAGTCTTTAGAAAAAATAAAAAGTTTGGAAAATCCAAAAGTGCACGCCTCATAAAGCTCATTCATTTTTTAAGAAAAAAATAAATGTGTTATTAATTTAAAAAAAAAAATTATAATTAAGGTAGTACTACCGGTTTTAGAATTGACGTTCAGAATTTAATGAAATTTGGCATATTGGTACTTTATAATATCATAATTAAGCAGTAAAATTTTTGGAACTTGAGCAAGTCCTGAAAAAAGATATTAACATTTATAATCCTTATGAGAAATCACAGACTTTATTTTATTTCACAAAACTGGACGTTGAGATTTCTATGATATTGGTATTAATAGAAAGAGAAAAATTTATTGAATATTTTTTTTTTTTTTTTTTATAAACATCAAGCTTGTGATAAGAGTAATTAATAAATAATTGAGAAAAAAGTACTAGTCAATTTAAATGTCGCAACGCCGCAGAAAAGGTTAGGATGCGCGCGAAATTCAAACATAC